TCTAAGCATTGTTGTTGTTGTTGTTGTTAAGTGCTGTCGAGTTGGTTCCGACCCATAGCGACCATGTACAGGGTTTCCGAGGGTGTAAATCTTTACGAGAGTAGAAAGCCTCATCTTTCTCCCGCGGAGCGGCTGGTAGTTTCAAACCGCTGACCTTAAGGCTCTAAGCATTAGAGATGCTAAAACAGTAGGAAGGATTGAGGAGGTAAAAGAGCTGAATAGAAAATTTCAGTGGATAGTTCTAAAAGCCAAAGTCAAGAATGATAATGAAATGTGCAAAGAGTTAGAAAACCAAAAGGATGAACACATCCAGCATTTCTCAAGGTGAAAGAACTGAAGAAAAAAAATCAATCCTTAACTTGCAATAATGAAAGATTCTATTGACTCCTGGTGTGGCACTTTATGATCAGCATTGGCTTCAAACACAAGGCCAGAAATTGATACACACCACCTTCTTGTAAGAATCCCTGTAGAAGATCATTATTAGTTGAAATTGACTCGATGACATTTAAAAACATCAAAAATTAGACAAAATATTGAATGATGAGAAATCAATTTTATACATTTTTGTTCATTCTTTAATGATGTGTTTTATTCCATAGCAGTTTTCTCAATGACATCATGACATCCTTGTTTCTTAAACTATATATCATGGGATTAAACATAGGGGTGAAGATAGCATAGAAAAGTGAAAGAACCTTGTTATTTCCCTCTGAGTGACTACTCTTGGGTCTTAGGTAAGTAATACTACCAGTTCCAAAGAATAACACCACAACCATAAGATGAGATGAGCAAGTGGAGAAGGCTTTGGTCCGACTTGTAGCTGATGGCAGCTTCAGGATGGTGGAGATGATTTTGCTGTAGGAGCCAAGTATCAACAGAAAAGGAACTGTGACAAATAACACAGCATCTATGTAGAACAATATCTCATTGACAGAAGTGTCCCCACAGGCCAGATTGAGTATTGGGGGAATGTCACAGAAGAAGTGGTTGATCTGATTAGGGCCACAGAAAGGCAGAGAGAAAATCTGATACGTTTGTCCTATCTGAACTACAATGTTAGCGACCCAAGAGCCAGTCACCAACTGGATGCAGAACCTTTGGTTCATGACTAGAGGATAGTGTAGTGGATTACAAATGGCCACATAGCGGTCATAGGCCATCACTGTCA